AAAATTCTTTAAATTAGATTTTTGTAGATTGTGTAGCCCTCTTTATGAGGAGCACATGAAAGACATAAAGTGTGCAAGAGAAAGAGATGACTAATCAGTTATTGAAACTTCCATTAATGTAATGACCTAACAGTTAACTTAAATTTCCATTTAAAAGTAAACAAACAAAAAATGCCCACTACTCTTTTAAATTCAGAAATTACATGCTGCTGTTCTTCTAGTCTAAGCAGAACTGTCATGTCTTTTAAATAATATTTTTGTTATAAATAAATAGTAACAGAGCCAGTAAGACTGTTCAAATTTTTGACAGTAGTGATCTAAAATCAAGTATCGCACTTAAATAGCAAGCAATAAATAGCATCATTTACTAGATGTTTGAGGAATATTCAGTCAAGTCTGTCTAAATTTAGATAGTGTTTGGTTGTGACAGTATAGCTAGCTCTGACATTTTATACACAGCTGTCACATGTAATATTTAATACTGCTTGCTTCTGTCCTAAACTTTCTAAACCAGAGTTAGTTCTTATTTTGCTGTATGAGCAACTTATTTATGCTGAGATAAAAGAGGGAATTTTACAAAGTATATCTGTCAGAAAACCTGGCAGAGTTCTGCCTTCAGGAATGCAAAAATAATGCATTTCCTTTCAGTATGGTTCAATGTGTAAGGTGAAATTTTGCTGTCTACTTTGCAAAGATTATTAGGAATGCTGCAGTCATTTCAGCGTGCAGTTAAAGGAAAAACCCAAACCAAACAATCATTTCTGTTTTCCATTAAATAACATAGGGGAATGCACCTTCCAGAAACTCACAGCTGATGTTAGGTACTCTGTAATAAATTACTTAATTATTCTTTGTGTATTATGGGTGTATGTGGTTATAAACTGAGAATGTTTTTATGATAATTGTAGGTATTTGATACATGTGAATTCTAACACCATGGAGAAACATGCATATCTGACTCAAAAAATGGAGTACAAGGTGTATGACAAAAATAATTAAATTTTTAAACTATAACTAGCCCTGACACTGACATTCTTGGTTAGTCAAATATGATAAATTTTTAACAGAACATTTTATGAGCTTATGTAAATTAAATGCTGTAGTATATTTCTTAATATCTCCAAAATTGCTGTTGAATGAAGGGAATATAACATCTTCAAATTATTTGAATAAAAATAGTAGTCCAAAGCATATTATAGTAATTTCATTAATAAAACTAATCTATAAACTTTTGTCACCTATTTGCACTTAAGTGCATAATTAGCTATTTTGAGATCATTTGGTTTATAAATGCTTCAGGTGTCTAAATAACAACTGACTTTTGAACTGGTGTCTGATTTCTGTTTATATTAATGTACTCCCATGGCCAGATTCTCAGATTTTGAGAACTATTGCTGCTCTATAAAGAAACTTGCATATTTATAAAGAACTAAGTCTTTTGCTTTGACATGAGCTAAAGATGGCATTAAGCAATCTAGATTGATGCTGACAGGCCTGCTCTCTTCCTTAGCTCTATTCCTATGAGCTCAGTGTCTCCTCTAGGTTCCAGCACTCATTCTGTGGTGTTGGAGGAAGAAAGGTGTAACCACATCAGTAGCAGTGCTGGGAAGACAACCCAGCACCATGTGGTGGGACAGCCTCTGACAGCCAGTCTTAAATGGGGCTGAGCCTGTCCTGAAGCTATGTATTTGGTTTAATAAGAGGAATATCCTAAAAGCATCACTTTATAGTTTTTAAGTATAGGAATACTCTGTTCTGCAGAAATTAAAAACTTGAGTTGTAAGAAACCTCGTAGAGGTCATCTAGTTTAGGCCTTGGCTCAAAGCCAGGCTAACATCAAAATAGATAAGGTTGCTTGGAGCCTTGTCCAGTTGAACCTTGAAGATCTCCAAGGCTCAGTTTTTACTTCCTCTGTGGGCAGTGCAGCCTCTTCATGGAGCAGGTTCCCTGCACCTCCTTCCCCCATCTCTGAAATTAGATGTGCTAGAGGTTCTTAATTGCCTCACATCTTTGTTGTGTAGGTCTGACAAGTTTACTTCTGCTTTAAGCTGTCAGAAGTGGGTGTTATGGCAAGGACAGAAATTTACAGATATCCAACCTTCTTCTCCCCACACCAGTCTTTCTAGGATTAAAATGCCCAGTTCCTTGTAGCTTTTCTTTGAATGTCACGTGCCCTCTAAACATCTAAGTGACCTTCAACTGTTTTTTGTCTATCTCATTTCCTGGGTGCTGAGGGGGAGAATTGTATACAGTACTTGGATACAGCATGATGAATGCTGACTGCTGGGGATGAGCAGTGTCCTTTGACTTGTTTGCACTGTTGCCACTGCAGCAGTGGAAGCTGTTGGCCAGGGTCAACCCCAACACCCACACAGCTGTGTGATCACTCTCCCTTGGGATAAGGAAAAAATAGAAGGAAGGCAAGAAGATACATGGGTCAAGATAATGATGTTTTAATAGGGAAAACCACGGCTTGCACGCACTAGCAGAGCAAAGAGCAGAGTTAATTCCTTCCTTCTCACTGGGAGGCAGGTGTTTGGCCACTTCCTGGAAAGCAGGGCCTTGGCTTGCATAATGGTTGTGTGGAAAGAATCATAGAATCCTTTAGTTTGGAAAAAGCTTATAATGTCATTGTGTCCAACCATTAACCCAGCACTGCCAAGCCCACCACTAAACCATGTCCCCAGCTTCCAGAGCTGGAGTTTTTAAATACCTCCAGGTATAGGTGACTCCACCACTTCCCTGGGCAGCCTGTTTCCATGCTTGACAATGCCTTTGATGAAAACATTTTTTACTAATAGCCAGCCTTAAACTCTCCTGGTGCAACCTGAGGCCATTTTCTATTGTCCTATCACTTATTACCTGTGAGAAGAGACTTACCCCACCTGGCTAAAACCTCCTTTAAGGTAGCTGTAGAGGGTGTTGAGGTCTCCCCTGAGCCTCCTGTTCTCCAGGATAAAAAACTCCAGTTCCCTCAGCTTCTCCTTGTATGAATTATGTCCCAGACCCTTCATTATAACCAACCTCCAAAGGTTTTAGCAAAGAAATGTTCAGACAAACACTGTAACAACAAATGACTACCCCTCTTCCCCCCCTGAGTTTTTACTGCTGAGAATGGTATCATGTTGTATGGAATGTCCCTTTGGTTGACTTAGGTCAGCTGTCCTGGCTGTGTCCCTTCTCAAGGTCTTGTCCAAGCCCAGCCTACTCACTGGGGCTGGGGACCTGGTGGAAAAGACAAAATGCCTTGATGCTGTGCATGCATTTTTCAGCTATAAGAGAACCATCACTTTATCTTACTAATGAGTGTTACCAGCCCTGGTTTAGCTACAAACCTGAAGTGCAGCATCATAAGGGCTGCTGTGAAGAGAGTTAACTTTGTCCCAGATAGACCCAGTGCAGCATCCTGTAATGTGGTTGATCTTTATCACCACAAGGCCCCACTGCTGACTCTTCAGTTTCTTGAACCCCACAGTTTTCCTAACCTATTAGTGTCAAATCTAATGTGTTGGATGTGTTACTCAGTGCCCCTTGCAGGACTTCATAATTGTCTGTGTTCTGAGATACCTCAGCTCAGTCCTCTAGCATGTGAGGACCCTCTGAATAACACCTCTGTTATCTAACACTGGCAAACACTTCCTGGCCTCCCAGGCTCATGTCAGCTGCAACCTTGATGTCAGTGCATTCTACTTTTGCTTTCAGGTCATTGGTGAAGATGCTAAACTGTGCTAGCCCAGTGTTGTCTCCTGGAGACAGCCTAAACACCTTCCAGTTAGATTCTTGAACCATTGACATAAGCCTTTAAATGTGACTGTCTAGGCAGTTTTTCAGACACCCTGAAGTTGGTACTTATCCAGCTGGGTACAAGGGCTGCCATGGATGGTGGCATTGGAAGCCTTATTAGAGTCAAAGTAAATTACATCTGTTAAATGTTCTTCACCCCCAAACCCACCTGTTTCCTCATGAAAACTTAGTAAGTACAGTTTGTACTTTGTAGACCTGTGTTGACACTTCTCAATAACCTTTATTTTATCCAAGATGAGGTTGACTGTCATGAGTCAGGTTCTTGCCCTTTTTTTGGAGACAAATAAGTACAGCCTTTGTCAGTGCCTTTCTGTGGTCAGAGTGTTCTTTTGGTTATATTGGAGTTGGACAATGGGTGATCTCTTTGCATTAGAAATACCTGTAGACTGTATGAAGATTGTACTCACTTCTGTAAAGCTATATTGAGAAAAGGGAACTGTGAGAGGGAGAATTCAGCACAAGTCACAGAAAAACTGGGAGTGTGCTATCTAAAGGGATTAGACTGCAGCTGTAAGAGTTCCACATGTTTTTTAGGGTAAGAAGCAGACTAAAGATAGATTGTTGAGACAGCAAAAACTGCATCTTTTTCCCTGTCTGTTAACAGATACTGTTTTTCTAGGCTTTGTATTTTAACATAGCTTCTTGTTTTGTTTTGTTGTTAAGCACTTAAATTGATATCAGGTTGACTGGCAAACCTCATGCCATCTGTTCTAACAAAAAGTAGGCTGACTGTTGGTTTATTCATGCTAGGGTCAAAAGACGGTTACAAGGACTGAAGCCTTGAAGAATTTTAAGGTGTTCATTTGCAGTTTTGAAAGATCATTAATACAGTGTGAAGAGTGGATTTTGGTTACGTTTTGGTTAAAAAGACAGAGGAATTAAGCTTTAGATCTCTTTGAAGTTGAGCAGCTTATCACCTGTTCACATTAGAAACACCAGCAGACTGTGTAAAGATTATGCTCACTTCTGTAAGAGAAAAGACTTTTAGAACTGAGATTTATTCTTAAAATGGCTTGATTTTGCAATTACCAGATGAAGGGGCATTTTTATATTAAAAATCAGTTTGTAGCATGTTCAACATGTTGTAACCTGTTGAAGGTTTTTATACTGGTTAAATACTTGAAGTATAGAATCAAAATGTATTTTCAAAGATTTGTAAAAGCCTAATGGTGAATTTTTACACGTTTATTTTTCAGGAGCTGGTGAATCGGGGAAAAGCACAATTGTCAAGCAAATGAAGTAAGTGTGGTGGAATACGGTGATAGATAAATATTTTTTTAATTTGAATAGAGAATTTATTTATTTTTTTTTTCCATAGGATTATCCATGAAGCTGGTTATTCAGAAGAAGAATGTAAACAGTACAAAGCTGTTGTCTACAGTAACACCATTCAGTCCATTATTGCTATCATTAGAGCAATGGGGAGGTTGAAGATAGACTTTGGTGATCCAGTCAGGGCTGTGAGTATTGAAATACATGCACAGATATACAGCTGAAATATCCATACTATTTCCTTCAGAAATCTTTGTGTGTTACAGTGTTTGATAACTAAATGCCTTTGGTCTTTACACACAAGGTTACCTGTGGAGCAGTCAGCACTGGGTTGATTCACAGCAACTTTTTGGTTTAGATACTATTTTCTGAATTCTGTCTAAATTTGGAGATCTAAACATCTGAATCTTAAGGAGTCCACAGTCATGTGTCTATTTGTATGGACTTGGGGGCTACTAAGTAGGTAATTTAGGTTAGGCACCTTGAAAAATACAGCATAAATAGGGAGGCATGTAGCTACTTCTGCACTGTACAGCCTGCACCTCTCTATTAGGTCATAGACACAGTAGTGCCTGAACATTGCCAGCCTCTGAGCTGGATCCTGTTTCATACTGATTTCCAGTGTTGAGGTCTTTATTTTGCTCAAAGAGACATGGGCATGGACCTGCTGCTGGGATGCCACTTTTTCATTATACTAATCCTGGGATTTTTCCCAAGAAAGGAAACCTTTTCCTAAGCTTTTCTGTACATTTTCCATCTTATTTCATCTAATGTCCTATGTGCAAATCTCTGATGAGTTTATTTGCCATCCCACCTACTGGTATCTCCAGTCCTAACCCTGTGCTCTTACCTATGGTGACCCTGATTACATCCACATCTGGTCAGGCAGGGAGATGTTTGGAATATCTCTGTAAAATGCTCAGTTTATCTTTTTTTTGCTTGTCTTCTCATTACAAAACTATACAGTCTGTGCTGCAGTGCTGAAACTGACCTCCAGAGTTGTTGGTCTGAACAGCAGTTAAACTTGGTTCAGGATGTATGCTTTTGTCTCCTCCCCACAGAAATCAGAAATCACAGTGCAGAATGCTTGCCAGTACTGGTTTGGAAGCCAGAACTTGCCACAGTGTGACTGCCTCAGAGGAAAGATGGAGGAAGGATCTTGTTGTTCATGAACATGTTCATAAGTATATGTAAGGTAGTCAGGAATATTTTGTCATAAGTTCTTTCCATCACTTTAAGGTAGAATTACAGTTTGGGAGGCAAGGAGGGTTTTTAAAAGAAACAGTATGTAGATTCTTCATTCTTGACAGTCTTCAAGATTTTATTGATTGTTTGAAAAGCAGTTTATAAATGTTAGACAGTATTCATTCAGTAACCTTGTGAAATGCAGTATGTATGGTTGTCATAAGGAAGATGCTTGTAAAATGATGTATAGTGAGTCATAAAGTTGTATCTGAAATCTAAATCTGATTCAAAGCTAATTACAACCATTATTTTATGTACATATGTTAATTCTACCTGATGTTTCTTCAGTTGTAAGCATAACTAGTAAAAGCTTCAATTTCACTGGTTATTCCTCTCTACATTTGCTCTCATGTTTGCTGTAGTCTGCCCTTGAGACCAAAGTTTTCCAGAGCACTGACAGTATTTCACTATTGTTAGTTCAGTGTTTGTGCAGCCCTCTCTGGAGTCTGGCAGTTGATGCTGGAAAGAGGCAGATGGTAGACTTATGTTACTGAATGCGTAGTAAGAGAAACCGGAGGAGGAGTAAATTTAGGTGTTAGCAGATAAAATGACTAACAAGAAGATTTTGAGGGCCTTGTTATATATGATGTCAGTTTTAAGTCATCTGAGTTTTTCGACTTCAGAGAGCTGTATAAATGATGAGGCAAACTTATGTCAGGAACAATCTTAAAATAGCTGTCCATCCCTGTGTAATTAGTCAGGTCTTGGTGGTCCAAATTATTTTTTTTCAGAGGAACGTTGCTATGGAACGTTAGCATTAGATGTTAGTAGTAGCATGTTCATACCTTAATTATTTTCAATTTTGTTTTAATTTTGTTGTCTTTAGCAGAAAAAATAGCTCAAAATTGTAACTCCTGGTGTAAAGTGTTACATTCAGATTATTTTTCTTAAAATTATGAGGTGAATTTCTGATGGTTTTGTTCTAAAATGGGGTAAGGTGTCTTTGAAAATCACATACTCTTATTTCTGTTGTAAGACTAATGGTAGAACAGTGAGTTGGGTGTTCTCTTTTTTGAAGTTATTGAATCAAGGGAGCATAGGTAACACCAGCAGGTCAGTTGTAAATCTGGTGTATCTTCCTTTGTGCTACAGGATAGTTTAAGTAGAAGCATTTAGTGAATGTGCTTCAATGGCCTGTGAACCACTTTCTGAATGTGAGATTTGCACCAGTTGGAGAGATTGTTAAATTGGTTATTTTACATTACGTTATGTATGGAATCTCTTTAAAAAAATGACACTGTAGAGGAAGTTTCCCTATTTCAGTGTAACTAAAGGAAATTCTCTAGCATTGATTAATAATTAAAATAGAACTTGATCATTGCATACTGCCTCACATGTGGTGTCTGTGGTAGTTGTCATTTTAGCACAAGGAAGATGGGGTAACAGAGACCATTTTGCATTTTAATGTTTGGCCTTTAAAAGAGCTGAAATCAATTATCTTCTTCTGCCTTTCCTTTCCCCACTCCCCTGTTTGAGAGCATGTAGAGATACATGAAAGTCAGACCATCTTAGGTATAAAATGTCATCATATTTTGTGACAAAACTGTCAGTTTCTAAGCTGTTTCCATCATGTGTCTTAATATATTGTCCCTTCTTAAAGATTTGCTGCTTTTGTGAGTTGTAGGTTCTTGCATTTGCATCCACAAACAGTATTCAAGACCAGAACTGTCATTCAGGTTTCTTTTATGCAGGCATAGTGTTCAAATTAAAGCTCCTGAAATCTGACTATCCAACCCTTTGATCTTTAGAGCTCTGGGTTTTATATGTAATTATTATTGCAATCTGTTAAGTTTTTATTATTTGTTCACAGTTTTTTCTGTGTATGTATAGTAATCAGTATTTTTGTTTGATGAATGTTGTTTTAGATTTCTACCTACTCTAGCTTTCAAAAGACACTTTCAACTATACATCAGCAACCCATTCTTCATATGTATACCTACAAATGTATATATATGTTTGAATCTCTTCAAGTTTGGCTTGAGTTCACTGAACTGCAAGCCTTTCCTTTTCAGCCTCTGAAATTCAGTATTACCCAATCCATCTGTAAACAATTTCCCTGTCAGCTCACACAGTCTTTGATTATTTAAGTCTACAGTGGACAGTATCTTTAGAACAATCACTGCTTTCTGTGCTTATCCTGAAAATGGGCTTTATTTTCCCCACAGCTTTGTTTTGGAACAGCAAAGTGACAGATTTTTCTACAGATTTGCATATGTGTCTTCACTTACATTTTGTGAGAATAACGTTATATGTTGCCTTTTTAAATCCTCCTCTTTCTTGAAACGCTTTCAGTTCCCAACTGACATATCTGAGTCTCCCTTTTATCCTTCCTCCTTTCCAGCTTCATTGTTCTCGTTCTTTTAATTACTGGACAAACAGTGCATGCTGTGGATAGTTGTTACAAGCTGATTTTTCTGGCTGACGTACCTTGGCATTGGATCATGTTCCCCTAATAAGCAAGGTCAAGCAGCTACAGGAGAGTACTAATGTGGATTTTCCCTATACCCATCTGCTGTCTTTCCTTCAGTGCCTTACAGGCCTAAATATAATATAAATACTTTAGAAAATAAAATATTAAGTTTTGTTGCTCAGTCATAGTTGGATGTTGCTGGTGAACTGGTCAAATGCTGATAAAAGGGGAATGGTGGATTTACATGCTGTACTCCATTAGCCTCACTCTCAAAGCCAGTTATTGTATATAGTTTTAAAATCCAGCATTTGCTCTTAAAAATCTTGATGTTTGCTTGATATTGCATTACCAAGAGAACCTGGTCTCAGTAGAATAATTAAGGCAATGGGTATTTGTAGCTGATTCATCTGAAAAGATTTTTAGAAGTGTTTTTCTAATTCCTGATGTATTATTGGGAAGAAGTGATTATTTGTCACTTTCAAAGTTGGGTAATTAATTAAAATTAAGCATTTAATTTGTTTTCTTCAGCTGTTCAGTATACAGCTACCCTTCTGAAGGGTCTAGTTTGTCTTGTAACCATTTTATCCAGGATGTGGTATTATATGAGCATGTATGGTTAGCTTTAGGTTTGAGCACAAAATATGTTACTACTCCTGTTTATAAAAACCTCGCTCAAGTTATAAACAGACCAGAAGCTTTGTCAGCTAATGATAAATTCAATTACTAGTCTTTTTCTGTTGTTGAAAAATGTGGGAATTAATATCTAATGCAGAATAAATTTTCTTTCGCTTTTTTTTTTGTTTGATTACATTTGCATTTACCAGGTTAAGTAATGCATTTGCTGAATCTAGTTCTTAGGTGATAATACTTCAGTTGTATTTCTCAATATTTCTCTCTTCACCCTGTGTTTCCATCCTAAAGGATGATGCTCGTCAGCTCTTTGTGTTGGCTGGAGCAGCAGAAGAAGGATTTATGACTTCAGAGCTTGCAGGAGTTATCAAGAGACTCTGGAAAGACACCGGGGTTCAAGCCTGTTTCAACAGATCTCGAGAATACCAGCTCAACGACTCTGCTGCCTAGTAAGTGCTGTGTGACAGACAGGATTCTCTTTGCCTTCTAGCTAGTAGCTAAAGCAGTATGAGGTGTCATGTTTTGACAAATTCTGCTCCCACGTAGATGGAAACCACAGAAGTATCTGGACAAAGATAGTGTCTGCTTGGGTCAAAATGCTGCAGCAAAGCTTTGAGGTTAGAAAGGAAAAGGCGTAGTGTAATTATGAGCTTGTCATGTTCTGACCACATGTTTCACTCCCTTAAAGATGGTAAAGATTGATTTAAGATGCTTTAATAGGTTTTCTATTAAAAAGCATGACTAAAGTACCTTTTTAGTATCTGAGTGTGTCCAAAAAACTGTGATGACATGATCTGTATCTCTATTACCAAGGATACTACCTTTTTTCATAATAAAGTTTTTCCTATTTGAACACTGCTATGTTTTCATTGTTAATTAATGGTGTCTATTGGAAATATGTTGAGCCAAGTAGCAATTAAAATGTATCTTTTATGCTAGGGCACTTAAGTAAGAAAATAAAACATTAAGGAATTAGGAAGGCAAAAAATAAGGTGGCATGGCAGTAAGGAATGGTAAGTCAGTCAAGGAAAAGAGTCCACTGAAGGAAAAGTAAGATGGTAGGGTGGCAATAGCAGTGATAGTGCCATTTTTTATGATTCTAAAGTATTTTGTAGTACTTGAAGCTGCTTCTCAGTTGTATAACTTTTTTCCATATGAACACTTCATTTGGAGATTCACATACTCTCCTGTCCTAACTTTCTGTGGTCTGTTTTGTTGTGTTAGACAACTGTGACTCAAGTTTCATAAGAAAACTATTCTTCTGGCCATATAAATGTATCTGTAAAATTGTTAACATCTTGTTACACAGAAAATAGAACACAATGCCTTCCCTGTTTACTATGGGAAAAGCACAAGTAAGAGCTGTATAGTTTTTTGGAAACACTGGACTTGGCCTACATTGCAAGGAGTTTGGCAATGAAAACATACTAATTCTAAAAAATACATGCAATTAGGATTCTCAATAGAAAGTTAATTGTCATGTATTAGGCACTTCCTCAGACACATTAATTCTGGCCAAAACACTGAGTTATTCTTTTCATATCTGTTATCAAGTAGAGTGATTTTGGGCTTAGTTTATGGTTCAAAGTAATCTGCAGTTCAGTAGGTTGCAAAGATGAAGATGTTCTCATTAATGCCAATAACATGCATGTTTATGGAACCATGTTTGCATTTAGGAATTTCTAAAGAAGAATTCTTTGTAATGGAATAAATTGCTTAAGTTTCCTTTCATCTAGGATGAAATCTCTTTGTGTCTCAAAAGCTTATTTTGAAAAAACTTGGAAATTTGAGTAGAATACTGCATCTTGTGTCTCAGAGAAAACTCTTTTATAAAATTCAAGCACAGTGTAATGAATGGACTTAAAACCTATTGTAATTCTTTGTAATTCTTTTGTTGCTGTTTTATGAATAACTGAAAGCAGTGTTTATTTTTACCTTTAGTTACTTGAATGACTTGGACAGGATAGCACAAACCAGCTACATTCCAACTCAACAGGATGTTCTCAGGACTAGAGTGAAAACTACAGGAATAGTGGAAACTCACTTTACTTTCAAGGATCTTCATTTTAAGTATGTAAATCATGCTGCATGGTTATCTGTCCATCAGAGTTCCTGTAAAATTATGGAATATGGAATTCAATGGTGTAATTTAACAAAATTGTCTAACCACAAGCTTGATTATTACCCCCCACTTTTTATGGAAAAAAAAAACAACAACTTATGCTTGACTCAATTTTCTGAAGAGAGTTGTTGGAGCTCCAATAAATGTTTTTGTTATATTGAAAATGCTTTTTAAGGATACTTTTGATATAAATTAAATCTCAAAACAAAATATTGCATTTTCTGCCATGTTAAATAGCTGTTCTATTGGATTCTTGTTTTAAATTCTGTTGGAGAACTGGAAGCTTATAAGAGTTTGCTGGTGTTGTATGAAAGAGTAATTCCATTTTCCCAAAGAGGTGAATTCAAATATGTCCTATACTCTAAGGTAGTATTTTAGACATAAAAGAATGTCACTTACATTTTCTGTGGTGTGAGATTTAGAAAATAATGATAATATTCTGAGCATTTTATGTCTAAAGACACAGAATCAAAGAATGGTTTGGGTTGGAAGGGACCTTAAAGGTTGTCTAGTTCTAACCTTGCTGCAGTGGGCAGGGTTACCTTGCACTAGACCAGGTTGCTCAAAGCTTCATCCAGCCTGGCCTTGGACACTTCCAGGGATGGGGCATCCTGGAAGTACCTGCTCTGGACAGCTTGTTCCAGTGCCTCACCACCCTCCCAATAAAGGATTTCCTCCTAATACCTTATCTAAACTTACTCTCTTTCACTTTGAACTCATTCCCCCTTGTCCTCTCACAAGATGCTCTTGGAAAAAGTTTGCCCTGACTCAGGTGCAGCATTCAAGGTGAAAACACAAGATAGTGTTAACCATCAGTGTACTCTACCTCCTAGTGATGAGGAAGAATGAGAAGAAAACTCAGTCAAACACACTTTAAGTATGGATTTAGGTTCTGTAGAAATTGTTCAGCATGTCTGTATATTTGTTTAGTATCTTTATAGAAAATATTTTTTTCATGGAAATGCCTGGCAAATACTGAAATGTGGATACATCAGGACTGTGAAAAATCTTTTGCTTCCTTGTTTTAGGGTTTAAGAATACAAAATCTGTATAAATCTACAAAAGAATAGGTGATAAATGGTAATGAATTTCTTGCAAACCTAAGAAGAGTAGTCCTTAGCAAAGCCTGAAGAGAGAACTTTAGTATTCTCAGGAGCTCTCCATCTTCTCACTTACTTTCAAATGTTTCTTGTTCCCTCCTGAAGATGGGTCTAGTCTCTACAGATTATTGGGACTGTTACAAGGACCATATGGTTACACTGCTGTAAAATGTGTCTTTGAGCCAGGCCTGTGGAATTGTTTAGCTGTAATGTTGTACATTCAAACATCTGTACCTGTGCCTTAGGCAATAGGCTTAATGAGTTATTAGGAGGGCCTGCAGTACACTCTTACATAACCTTGAAATGAACTTTTAAGATCATCCAAACACATGAAAGGCTTGATTATACTAAGACAAGGGTACATAAGTATGACTAGCTGCACAGAATCAATTTCTTTCCCTTTCTTTCCTGTTCTGCTCTGTGTGTTTAGATTCCTTCAGGTTGGGCCTCAATTCAGCCTTCTCCATAAAGCAATTAACATAGCTTTGATTATTGATTCAATCTGAATTGCAAATAGCAAGTCATCTTCATCCTGTTTCTATAGCCTAGTTCAAAAGTTGAGTCTGATTATTTACTAGTTTTGTGTTCAAAGAACACTTTTTTTTAGAAGTGTTAATTCTTATGGAAAATCAGGCCTCAGTATAAAGTTACAAAACATAGCATTAGAATTGACAGAAGTAATTACTGAAATTTAAGGGATTAATTATTAAGATACAGTACAAAGTACAGCATTAAGTACAAAATATATTCTCTGGGTACAGGCATTGCTAATTACTTGAGAACTGAGTAGTAGGTGGCTGGCTCACATTTGTATAGAGTGATATCCAAAGACTTCCCTTCAAAGATTTTTCTGAAGGAGCACCTCTAAGGAATCCTTTTTTCAGCAGGAATTATCTTTCAAGTGTTTTTGACATGGCATTATTTCAATGTAGAAGCTTAAAATGGCAGTGAGAATTGTCGCTTCTGCAGTAGTTTTTCCAAGTATAAGACCTTGTTAGAGGTTACAGTGTTTCTGACAGTTTTCCATGAAAAAGCAAAGGGTCTTTTTTTTCTTCTAATTTGTTTCCTTCTCCACTTACTTTTACTGTGGGTTTTTTTTCCTATTAAAACCTAGCAACTTGGAACACTTGAAGATATCTAAAAATAACAACTGTAATTGAATCCCTTCAAGTGCAATTTACAGTGTTTCTGTAGTGCACTAACATTAAATCAGTCAGGGTTCTTACCTGCCCTGTACTTGCAACCTTACAACTCATGGAAAACAGGAAAGGAAGCTAATAAAAAACACAAGTCAGCTTGAGTAAGTGTCATATGTGAGACTTAATTGCATTTCAAAAAATGCATTTATTGTTGGAAAAAAGAGAGTTTTTACTATATAATGCTTATTTTGTCTTCTAAGATAATCTCTTAAAAATATTCCGTATAAACATGGCCAATTGAAGAACAGATTTAAGTTGTAATTTGACTTAGAAGAGAGAGGAGCTAAAACTCACCAGGACATTGTTGATCAGTATCTTTTATTATGATAGACTTTTTAGTAAAGCTAACTGTATATTTTATTTTATACAGATTACAATTAACTTTGTTAATGAAATATAATATTATAAATAGTTAATTTTGTCTTTCATCTCATGCTTTCTCATGTTCTCTAAAATGTATAGGAAGACTTTCAAAGCTTAAAATTGAGGTGTAAACTGAGAAAATACAGAGTTTTTTGCCTTCTTTTTAAGATGTTGTTCTCAGACTCATACAGCTGATAGTTCCGGATTTTTAGCTTCAGAAAGCTAAAAATTCCAAAGTTCATTCTCCTTTTTGCTTCTGTTTTGCAGAATGTTTGATGTTGGAGGCCAAAGATCAGAGCGGAAGAAGTGGATTCATTGTTTTGAGGGTGTTACAGCAATTATTTTTTGTGTGGCACTGAGTGATTATGACTTGGTCTTGGCTGAAGACGAGGAAATGGCAAGTACCATAATGCTGAAGAAGGGAATAGTTGTTGCACAGAAGCTAAGCTTTGAAGGAAGGCTAGAAATGGGTCTTTTGCAGTATTACTCCTTTGTAAGATGTGTGGGGTTTGTGCAAAAGGTCTCAGTGAAATGGTGATGGAAACCAAAAGCATGAATTCTAAAGTATTTCCTCATATTCTCATAAGGAATACTAAAAGATAAGTATTCTTTCAGCCACACTTTTCATGTTTTAAAGGAACCATAAATTAATGAGGATGTATTGCCAGTATTATACATTTTAGTCTCTTTCTTGATGCCAGAAGTGCATAGTAAGAAATTTTTTTACTTACCTGTATCTGCTTTACCACATTTTGTTTTCCTTTCATTCCTCAGTCTTCAGTTTTTGTTTCTTTCTAACTGTGTTTCTCCAATCTCTTGTCTTAGTTGCAGAAATCTTTCTCTTCTTTTTCCTTTCCAACACCCTCGGCTCCTTTCTCCTCTTTCAAGAGTTTACTCCTTCCGTGTCACTGTGCACAGGGTGCATTTTACTCTCTTGAGTGGTCTGAAGTGATGCTTACCTCTGTATGTGAATCATTAACAGACTCTTGTGCTCTTCCTTGTGTTCTGCAACTTTCTATAACATATAATTTGGGGAGGAAAGAGAAATAAGAAAACCTTTCAAGTCAAATATAGTGTCAAAGAAGGTCGTAGCTAGCATCCTGCTACTTAAATGACTGGAACTTGGCCAAAGTACTTACATGTTGGATAATTTTTCTACAGAGTTAAATATTATGGTAAGAGTTAAAATACCTGCTTACTTGATTCTCTAGCTTTGTAGAACTTTCTTCCTTATTCTGGAATATCAGCTAGGTGCAGAATTTATTTTCAATTTCCAGAAGATCTAATCAGTGTTAAGACAAATACAGGTAACTCAGCAATTCCTGTAAAATATCTGTACGGCAAAATGTCAAACACACAAAAAAAATTATGAAGTATTGAGAATTTAAACCTGGAAATGAGAAAAAAAGTAGTTGCTTAAACCCTGCTTGTGGAAGTCATCTTTGTGGTAGTCTTGGCTTCTCTGTATTTCCCTGCAGTAAAATATGATTTAGTTTGCTAAAAACTTAGTTTTGTAACTGGTTCATTTGTAAGCAGTCAAAAATATGTATCCTTATGTTACTAGTGAAGTCTGATAAAATAGAAAGTGATGGCTTTTTTTTTTTTTCACTTACAGAATCGGATGCATGAGAGCATGAAATTGTTTGACAGTATTTGCAACAATAAATGGTTCACAGACACTTCTATTATTCTGTTCCTGAACAAGAAAGATCTTTTTGAAGAAAAAATCAAAAGAAGTCCTCTCACTATTTGCTACCCTGAATATGCAGGTATTGGAGGGGTGCAGATGTCAAGGTTTTGTTTGTTTTTGTTTTTTTTTTTGAATACCTGATTTTCCATGCACAGATCATGAGGAGTTGCATAACTTCAGGCATCTAAAATATTTATATGACCTAAAATTTAGATGGGGGTTGTTTTGATGGGTTGCAAATAAAACAGTGCTTAAGTCTTTTTAACCAGGTGAAATATGCTGGTCCACTGATAGCATTTACATGTTACTGCTGCAACTTTTCAGGCTCTTTTATTTAGCCCGTTATTTCTAAGAAAATAACAAACTGCTTTTGTACTTTGATATAAGTAGGAATTCCTGAGATACATGAGAGGTTTTTGAACAGGGAGTGTACATACATTTTGACATTGTGGCTTATTCAGGAAATATACAGCAAAAGAGCATTAATTCATTTAACAGGTCTTAGCATTTTTATGTATTATTTTCATTGTAACTTCAGACAGAAAATAACATGTTGGAAGTAAAAAGCTTGGGAGAAATTTGTATGCCAAGTGTCTGTAACTGAGTGTGGGAAAACCCCAAAGCTTTTAAAAACATAAAAATTTAAAGGGAGTAACTTAAATGAAGGAAATAAAATGTCCTAAACTAGGAAAGTGATGGTTCATTAATGACTTGTTCCTCTGGCACTGGAGTAAATAGAAAGACTATTCCTGCACCTGGAACTGAATTGAGTGCTAAGTTTTTACTATTACAAATGCATCCAAAAGGTCTCCTTCCAAGGTTTTATTAATGGTATCTTAAAACAATGGCTGTGGAATTTCTCCTCTTCAGGTTTAGGTTAACTGTTTCCAAAGAACCCCCCTTCCTTCAAAGATAGAGCGCATCTTGTTCTTCCTCTGTTGGAAATCTGCTTACTGAGCAATTTTCTTCTAGGGTCAAACACCTATGAAGAAGCAGCTGCTTACATTCAGTGTCAGTTTGAAGATCTGAACAAGAGGAAAGACACAAAAGAAATCTACACTCACTTCACGTGTGCCACAGACACAAAAAATGTGCAGTTTGTTTTTGATGCTGTAACTGATGTCATTATTAAAAATAACCTTAAGGACTGTGGCCTCTTCTGAGAACAGACAAAAGGTTGTTAAATGGTAAATTACATGCCTGAAAACAGGACTTAAACATTTGGAATATGCCCACGCTGTGTAAAACCTGCATAGATATACTTAATTCTCTTTTATTTTATTTTTAGGTTTGGAGATAGACTTCGCACAATTCTAATCTGATTCTTTTCAAGGTGAAAGAAGTACAAAATGCATTGTGCTCAATGATAGATCAGTACTGTACTTGCCTGTTTTAACAGCTTTATTTATGTTTGTCTTGTAAATTTAAGTAATTAGTTAACACTGAGATGTCAGTTGATTGTATGTAAACTTACAGTTGTAGTAATGTATTTGTATAAACGTTGAACGGAATATTTTAGTAACTTGTTGTCCTCTAAAACATTCCTCTAAAATTTCCATGTTTTATGAAGATACTCTTAGAGGAGACAGACACTTTTTGCCTTTGGATTATTTAAACATCTTGTAAAATTAAATTTTCTTTTCATCTTAAGGGTGCATGCTGCCTTATTCTTTACTTTTGTTGGTAATACTGTATATGGCGTTAGCTTTTTTGATATTTAAACAGCCTCATACACCTTCTCAGACTTAAAGAAACATAACCAATAAACTTATTTTTTGCCTTAAGTATTGAAAAAAAAATCTTTTTATAAATTTAGGATAAACACAAAGATTATTTTAAAATTCAAATGAAATTCATAGTGTATGAAATCCAGACTTGCAGTCTTTGCAGTGGAAATATGGCAACACTGGGAAATTGTTCCTTAAGGGTCAGCTACCCCTGAAGCTGATGGAAATGCAAAAAGGAAGTTGTTAAAACTATTCATATCAATAAAAAAAATGATACTGTGCTCTTTACTCAGTGGATTAAATGGAAAAATTACCTTTGGGGTGTTTTAAATAGCACAGGCTGGAGTTCAGAGTAATGTATTTTCTGCATACTTTAAACATAAATTCATGTTCTCCTTAAATTTTTTTGCTATTTTCTGGTAATAAAACTAGTTGGATAACTTTAAAACCATAGAAAGATTGTGTTCTCCCACAAGACATGGGGGCTTCACAGATTAAAGCAAATTCCTGTTGCATATAGCAAGAATCTTCAACGTTTTGGGTAGGGTGTTTTAGTGAGTTAGAAGTGCTGATTTTTAATTTCCTCTTTAATTATAGCCTCACAGTTTCTTATAAGTTAAAGATGATTTTCTTCTGGTTATGCTTTCATTATGTGATTTGCTGTCTTAGGTAGCTATCATCCATTGCCTTAGGGATAGTGCCAAAACTGATTTTTTTAATACAGTTTTTAAAAGGAATAAGCTTCTAAATGTAAATAAGTTGATGGTTGTCTTAAATGTATGTTGTCATCTAGAAAACACGAACATACCAAACCTGGAGATAAAATTTTCTATAATTGTTAAAATATTTCAGGCAGCTACAGTACACCCTAAGTTCTTTGAGAAGTAAATAAGTCTTGGAGCCTGTGGCTATTTTTCTATATTATCTTAGCATTTATGTTCTTAGAATGTTCAAAATATTGAAGTCATTGTTCTGTTGTTTAAATTTTGATTGTGTATGTGTTTAAGTTAGGCCTCTGCTTGAGTAAAACTTACCTGCCCTTCTCATTCTTTAATGCTTTCTTTGTTAGGTACAGAATTGCTAAATGCATTTTAAATGAAAGATTAGAAAGGAGATAAGTTATTGCTGGAGGTTGTTAAATATGTTGATACATTGAGCTCTTTCAGCAGTTATGGTAAGCAATCTGTATATCCTGGGCTGCTTTTAAGTGTGCTTTATGGTTTTGGATATGATTTTAAATCTCACTGAACTACTTTGTGGAATTGTATTTACACCTACGTTCCAGCTGGTTTTTGTACTTAATGTAAAACAAAAATTGGGATTAATCAAATTAAATAAATCTAAATTTTGTGCCTTGCTTGAAAGAAATGTTTTTCATTAAATGTGCTGATGGAAATCCTTTTGCATCCATTCTGTGGAGGTAACTAGGTAGTAAAAATGAGAGGATAGAAAGAGTAAATGAAAAACTTTGTGCTAGAAGCATTAGGGTTTTTTATTGATTAATTAGTACATTTCTTAGCACTTCCACTTGGAGAATTTTTGGAATTTTGTGACTAGTGGTTTACGAAGCATTTGTATATTAACACAGAACAAAAATTGTGAGCTAATTTGCCTTGCTAGTCCACAGATAATCTTTTTTTTTTCTGACCTGATGCATAGCCAGCAGGGATGTTTCCTTGTAGAGGTGCTGCACTGGTAGATCAATCTTTGTCTAGAGATGAAGTTGTCAGCCTAGGCCTCTTCTCTAGGAAAAGCTCCAAGAAGATTTCCATGCAGTTGTGGTGTGAGCCACACTCTTAATTTTCACTGCAGCTGTAATAAGGCTCCATATCTCTGTTCCATCAGGAGCCTGCTTCCCTGTCAGAGCACTGCAGAAAATGAAGGAAATGCTGCAGGTACTCCACTGTCCAAGAGACAATCTTGGCCCTCAGCAGCCTGAGCTCTGTTCTCTTCCAGTTCCCCATTCCTCTGATTTCTTCATGCAGAGTGTGCAGGCAAACTACTTTCTGTAGCATGACACAAAGAAGCCTATTACCTAAGAAATTCCTTCAAGATATTGTAAATGTACTATATGTAAAAAAATATATATTTTTTTACATATAGTACATTTACAATATCCTTTGTGGAAACTTCTCCAGCCCCATGATCTTGTGCACGGCTGTGGTTGAAGTCTCTCAGTAAAGTGCAGCTGTCATTAAGCATGTAGTTATTTTTAAGAGGCTTAACACTGTGGAAGAGTGGTTTGGAAAATTTGCTATTTGGCTTCATTATGCCACCTATGGAATCTGGAGGTTAATTTGATGTTAAATGTAGTAATCTCTCATTAACTAAAACAAGGTTGAGGATCACAGCATGGGAGCAATGTAGATTTTCTGGATTGCTGTTTCTGGTTCCATGTAGGCAATTAACAGCTTCATGATTTAAAGTCTACATTAAACCTTAGGGAGCAAAAGAGATCCATCTCCAGCATGCTGAACAGCATGGTGGCTGGTGTGCATTCAGAACTGGGGAAAATTAAAGGATAATTGTCTGTTTCAAATCAAGCAAAAAGGAAACCCTGCCAAGATACTAGCTATCCTACTGTGTGAATGTGTCTTGAAGTTGTTATACTTCATATTAGTAGCTCAGATCCTGTGGGTCAAAGAGTAATTGCAGGGTTGTAAGCTTCAAAGCCTTGACTATATTTCATTTTTAAAAAGGTATAGAAGGTGCAACAAGAGTCTTTAAGGACCTCATCCTTGAATAATTCATAGCCTGTGGAAGTGCACTCATGGTCCATGAATGTGGAACATGAGACTGGTAAAAGAGGAGCTTAATCAGGACTATAAGCAGTGCTTGTAGTTTTTGCAAAATGGTCAAGTTTTTAGACTCTGATGAGCAGTAATATTGAAAATTCAGTTGCATAAGTGCAAGAAAACCATTTTGTGGTTTTGCCTCTGGAGCTCTTGTAAAGAAGCTGGCTTGACATAGAGGAAACTACGAACAGACTTTTACTTAGTTATATTTCCAAGTAATGAAAATATGCTGTACTTAAAAATGGCTGTTAAATTTCGTTTATCAAGCTTTTTGTCCTTGGTGTATTTAGAAGAGGTGCTTTTCAAAGTTGGTCATTCCAGACAAGATGCTTCTGGCTGGTTTGCTCTGCTTGTGTCTTCTTTTTTGTGGTAGTGAGAAGACTTTGACTGTTACCTGACACAACAGAGATCAGGATTATTGAGCAGTTTATTGCAGGAGTAATTTATTTGATCTAAGGCATAGTTAGGCTTATTTTCAAAAGTCAATAAGGTGAGCTCTATATAGGGCAGTGTAATACTATATCAGTTTTTTGGTATAGCATACCCCTTCTGGGTATTAGGACAGGAAAAATTGAGCCCACAGTGTAGAAGTACATGTCTGTAGAACTGTGTCAATTCTGAAAGGAATGTCAGAGCATCTGTTACAAAAGAAAGATTTATGTATGCAAGGATGTACTGATAAGAATGTGCCATCTGAAAATTGACTCTTTTTAATTGCAGTGGAACAAAAGGCATTTAAAACCAAATACATTGTCACTGGAAGCCACTGCAGCTTCACAGAACTAGCTGTTCCCAGCTACCTTAGTCTTCCTCCTTTTCTATCCTCCCACTAAGAGAAGTCTGGGGAGAGGTGGTGTCACTGTGCTTTCCCTCACGGGTTGTGCTATTTGTGTCGACATCTGAGGAACGGGTACCTTGAATCCTGCTACAGATATGCTGATCACTTTCTTTTGCAGATAAAGAATATGCAGATGCCTGATTTAGGATTATTATTAATATGGTAATGTAAGAATATGCAGATGGATTAGAAAATAAGTATATTTAAAACTACTTGTGTTTGTATGGAAAAGCATGAAGAAAAGTCTAGGAAACCAGGAACCTGAGCAGGTGAAGCTTTTTAGTTCTGTATTTTACAGTTCCACAGTGATCCACAGTCTGACCAGAAGTCTTCATATCACACTAAGCACATCTCAAATACCTCTTGTCAGTGTCCTCCTGTCCACAGAATGCACTGTGAGACAGTACTGTACAAGTGACTGACATTGCAAATAGAAGCATACTTCTAGGTTTTCTCCATTTGTCAAAAAAAGGAACAGTTTTCTAGACTAAATCAAATTAATAAACCATCTATTTTGTACATAGTTTCATAATAATTTGTCTCAGGAGCTATAAAATCTTCCTGTGAAAAAAATATTGGGAGGTACAGTCACAAATTTTCACTCTTCCTCTGTTCCAGTGTCATGATTCTCTTGAATTATGATTAAAAAAACCCCAACCCACAAAATCTATTCTAAAAATGCTATGAAACTGTCATCCTGAGAATGCTAAATAGTTTTGATTAAAAAATGCTAATACTTGTCCTGTAAGTCGGGATTTTTTTTGATAGATTAAAATAAAGATTCCTGTTTTGATTCTATAAATCACAAACTTATAAATACCTTGTCTAACTTTCAAGAGCTTTATTAAAACACAGAATTTTTTGTGAGAGTACTATTAACTTTGACTTGATATGAATTGCCAAAACTTATATTTCTATTCCTATAAATGAGAATTAAAGGTGAATTTATTAAAAAAAAAGAACTGTAGCTATCAACTGCATAATTTAGAGTGTAAAACTGAACACAACCAGAAAAAAATTACATTGTGATTTTATTGTTGTAAACATTCGAACATATGTTGAAGATGTGAATTTGGCCTGTAGGTCTGTAAGTCAGCAAGGGTATTTTGTTACATCCAGTTTCTAATGATGGCCTTTCTACTATTTTTTTGGCATTTAACAAAAATGTGATTTTAATCCTTCATAATTCTGGGCAGATTATTGAAAAAATTTTGAATTTGTTAGGCACTGCACATGGACATGAGTATGTTTGATCAAATTCTGAAGTTGCATATAGATTCTGCCCATATC